TCCGTTGGGGTGTGTGTGTGGGAAGATCCCGGGGTTCTGACTCCGACCAGGCCGCGCCGACGCCGCGGGGCTCACCGCTCGCGGGAGGGGGGCTCCCCCAGGCCGTCCCTGCCCCAGAGGCCGGGTTAACGCTCTCCCTTCCCCCCTCCCCGCGTGTCCCCCGCAGGTTGCGACATGTGCGCGGACAACCGCCACGGCGAGTGCCCCATGCACGGCCCGCTGCACTCGCTGCGCCGGCTCGTGGGCACCAGCAGCGCCGCGGCCGCCGCGCCCCCGCCCGAGCTGCCCGAGTGGCTGCGGGACCTGCCGCGCGAGGTGTGCCTGTGCACCAGCACCGTGCCCGGCCTGGCCTACGGCATCTGCGCGGCGCAGAGGATCCAGCAGGGCACCTGGATCGGCCCCTTCCAGGGCGTGCTGCTGCCCCCGGACAAGGTGCAGGCCGGCGCCGTCAGGAACACACAGCACCTCTGGGAGGTAAGGACCTCGCCGGCCCTGTGGCCACCCGGGCCCGGGCTCACTGGAGCAGGGGCAGCGTTCCGGGGAACCTCCCTTGGCCTGGCCCCCGGGGCTGGGGGTGGTGGTGGTGGTGGGACTGGAGAGCAGATTTCCCCGGCTCTGGCCTGGCCTGTCAAGTATCCAGTCTGCAGCCCCCGAGGGGCCGGGTCTGTCCCCACTAGCCACAGCCCAGCCAGGCCTCCACAGCCACCGCAGTCCACCCCTGTCCACCCCTGTGCCTGCCCGGAGCGGTTACACCCGGGGTGTGGAGCCGAGGAGCCTGGGCCTGCGGTGTGATCCAGGCCTTCGGCCTTCGCAGGTGTTTTAACTTGGTACCTGGAGCAGGAAGGGACCCAAGCTTAGAGAGGGAGAGGCCGAGTCAGGCTGATTTTCCCAGCCGCAGGCATCTTTCTGAATGTGGAATGTGAGACAAAGGCATGGTTCACGATATTCAGTCGGCCCAAGCACTTTAAAAATCCGAAAAAGAAAAAGATCAAAACATGGGAAAACACAGAACTTTTGAATAACTCGGCACCGGTGACATTATTGAAAAATAACAGATCTGAAAAAAAGGCTAACCAGAGAGTTCTTGAGCTTCCTGTCTGATGAGTGAGGTCCACGCCCGAAGAGAGACACCAGTTTGGTCCACAGTCTAGCCTGGAGGGCTGTAGATGCTGTAATGTTAAGGAAGGTGTAAATCTGACCAAAGCCAGAATGAATGAAAGAATGAAGTAGAAATTGTCAGGGAAGGAAAGGGAGTTTCCCCGGACCTTAGGGGTCTGGCATCGGTTTCCTTGCCCGCCCTTCACACGAGCTCAGAGCTTGTCAACATGATTGTTTGCACTCTGAACTGTCCTGTTTGAGTTGTACTACGTAAAACTCTTGAGAGTCAACAACCCGCTCAAGTGTACGCTGAATTCCCTTCCGGCCAGAGGTGTAGTAGGCTCTGGAGATTCAACATGAGGGAGACACAGATCAGGGGTCTCCCTTCCTCCTGTGATTGTTGGTGGTTGAGGAGCTGAGGACTCTTGATGGAGGAGGAGAGAGCACCAGAATCCACAGCCAGGAAGCCCAAGGTGAAGATAGGACAGCCCATTGCGCACTGTTCCTGCGGGCATTCCTGGGGCCCTGTCCCAGGCTCCTATTTCATTTCACTCCTAAATTTTACTCACAGATTTAATTTCAGGAACGGCACAGGAGAAAAGTGACTTTATTTGCCATCCGTAGGTGTAGATGTTAGAGCTTTTGCCTAGGAAAGATGTCAAGTGGGGTCTAATGAAAGTATCTAGTTTGACACATATCCTAGTTGCTTTTTGTTTCTAATTCATTAGTTGGAACCTCCAAAGTTTATAAAACACTTCCAGATAATTTTCATGTTCCAGAGATGTTGTTAGGAACTTTAATATCATGTAAAGATCTACCAGTACTTTCCTGGGGGAAATTATCAAGCAGTTGTTCAAGTGGTCCAGATTGGTTCTGTGTGAAAGTGTTGAACTGAACACTTTGTTGATGCCCTGTGATGCTATTTTTAGGGTGCAGAGGACAAAATGTGAACAAAATCCCATAGTTCATGTTCTTTCCTAGAAGGTTTTGAATGGTTAGGATATTGACAGGGGGCCACTACGTATGCACACAGAAAATCAGTGTATATATATATATACACATATGTACACGTTTATACAGATATATGTATATATACATGTCATATATGTATATATACATATATCTGTATATACACACACACACACACATATATATCTGTATACTGAAAGCTATGGAACCTCTCTTTTATACCTTTACCTACACATAGTGAGGTCAAAATCTGAGGAGTAAAGACACGGGGGAATTTGCTCATTATTTACTCCTTTTCTGGCTATTGCTGTGGCTATACAGTAAGTTTTGCCTATTGTCTGGGATATATGAGTTGTATAAATCAGAGAACTACAGAGCTGGTCCTACATTGTAAAAAATACTTGCTCAGTGTCTGCTTGGATGAGCGCTAGGTCTTTAATTCAGGGCATCATTTATTTATTTTTATCTTCTGTAACAACAATTAGAATAGAATTCATTTGGGGCCATTCATTGGGGCCATTTCAGCCATGCAAAATTGTCTCTTGGGAGAGCATAAAAAAAGTGACTAGGGGTCAGGTAATTTCTTGCAAATGACTGTGTAAAAAAAACCACTTTAAAACACATTTTGATTTTTATTAGTATAATGGCTTTTAAGCTATGGAGTATGCATTTACTTTTATTTTAAGCATCGTGATTTATAAAACAAAACTACTTGAACTAAGTTACATTTATAACAGAAGATTCTAAAAGTTGAATTTCTCCTCTTCTTTTAGTCTTTCAAGCCTAAATTCTATTATGGAAAACTTTTAATCATTGTATTATTTATATTAGAAGGGATCAGTCATTGGAATCCAGTGTAAATACACTGTAAATCTATATGGGAAAGAGCTGGCAATGATTGTTTAATGACTCATGTAATAATTATCCACTTAACATATGTTCTTATTAGATATCTTCCAGAATATCAGAGTGACATAAAGCAGATTTTTTAAAAGAAAAATTAAAAGCAGTTGAATTATGGTGAATTCATTTGAAAAGCCAACTGTAATTGTGTCTCTTCCTCATGGTCTTTCAAGTCCTTTGCTGATGAAGAAATGTCTTTATATTTAAAGTTCAATAGTCAGGTCCCCATAGATCTTACCAGGGTTACTTATCTTTATTTCAGCACAATAAATGGATCACTAATCTTTTCCTGTCACTGTTTCCAGCAGATGATGGATTTCTGCTTCAGTTCTTAGTCCATTGTTTTTACTCTGGTTGTATTTTATTATAAACATGAAGGCTTATTACAGAAACAAACAGATTCACCTTACTCATTCCTTTTGTTTAATCATTAGAATACTGTTTTCTGTGTCAAAGAACGGTGTTTTAATATCTAGTATACATCAATACATAGTGTCTGGCTGGTTTTGCAAGCATGCCATTCTTTTTTCAGAAAGCGAGTATTTGGGGGGTAGGGCTTCCGTTCTTCAAGATTCAGCACTTTAAAGAAAGTGAAAGATCATTTCACTACTTTAAATATATTTTGAATCTTTTGGGCATTTATGGAAAAAAAATCTAAAGAGTTTTTCTCCCTCCTCCCACTTTAGCAATTATCCAAGGTAATTCTGTTTTCTAGTTTAAGAAGATGAGCAAACTAAAATCCAAATGAGTCATTTTGGAGGGTGTGTGTGTGGCAATTTATTTTAGAATCAGAATATTAATGTGTTTTTTAACAGCAATACTGTAAAACAAAAACATTACAGGTTACAGTAAAAACTTTTTAGTTCTATACATTTATGCAACAAGACTCAGTTGTATGATTCATTTCTAACTATTTGAATATTGGAAGAAAAAAGAAAACAGAATTTTTCTCAGCAGTTGGATCTTATTGATAAGAACAAGATATTTTTATCCTAATGTGCTTTCTAATAAAGAACTGAAAGGCACATTTGATTCCAACATTATGAAAATATTATCTCAGTTATTAATGTGTTCTTTTCCCCTTGAGATAAATTAATCTAGCTGTACATGTTTTCCCCTTCTGCTTAACATCAGTGTTTAATGTGACTAGACCTTAGGAATGTACATAGTGTGTATCTAAAATTCTACTGGAATAATATACAGGAGTTTAAAATAAAGTTATAATTTAAGATTGCCTAGAATTATACCGTTCAACTGGTGAAGTCTGGTTTGACAAGAAATGTTAGCAACAATGACAAAATAAATTGCGTTTGTTTTCAACCAAGGAAAAGATTCCACTAATTGAGATAATGTAGTTACTTGTTAGGATTATTGTCAAGGAACTAGAAAGATATTTAACTTTATAAGACCTGTCTTCTCTTTGCCTGAGTAAATTTGAATGTGTCAACCTAATTTGCACTAGGTGGGAACCTTCACTATTTTTTGTCAGAAAACCAATAGGGTAACATAATGTGGGCCTTTTTGTGGTTTGATTCTGTGCCATCATATTTTAGATTTAATAAGAGTTTCACTTTTAAGCAAATGGTCTATTTTTCATCATTACCATTTAGCTTAAGTCAAAAGATATTAATGAAAACCAATATTAAAAATATATTACCTACTGCTAAATGTTTATATTTGAAAGCCATCAGAAGTAATTGGTACTAGAAGGAAATAAATTGAGTTCATATTTTAAATGTGCTCTGTGTATGGTTTTATAAATGAGTTGATTCCACATATACCATACTGAACCCATTTGTATGTATTTAGATGTTTAAAATAATATTAAGTTACTATTTAAAATCAAATTAAAATGATTGAAAATTAGTTTAGTGGTAGCATTGTAACTATATACTCAATATTTTGCTTTGTAGACTTTGTCTCATTTGGGTCTAATTTATCAAGACACCAAAACCTAGAATGCGTGCGTGGCTGTCATAGTTATGCTGAAGGAAAAATTGTTTCCCAGCCACTTCTCATTTAATCTACAGCTCTGCCTGAAAGTTGATCTTTGAACAGGTCAATTTTATGAAATAAAAATAATTTCTCCTTAAACATAAGCCATGGCTGTGTTGCTCCCGCTTTAAATTATGCAGCGTAACAGCTGGTGCATCTCTCTGGCTTTGCCTCATTGAATTGGAAGATGTCTTTTATGGTGGTGCCCATTTGATAGAGTGTGACCATTTTGTAGTTTTACATAAACTCTAAAACCATCTGCTGCCTCTTGGAAGGGTTTCCAGCATTGTGTTAAAACCAAAACTTAGTGCTTGGAGTTGGCTTTGGAGAGATCTGTTGAAAGCCCTTGCCCCTTTGGATCAGGCTGCTTGTTGCGCCCTTGGTGATCTAAGTCCCCACATAACTTGGTTTTAAACACACACACACACACACACACACATACACACACACACACACACACACACACACACACTATCCCTGTAGAAATCTTTGTTAGTGAGGTTTAATCC